ACTTTCTCTTTTCATAACCACTGCTATGCAAACAGATTTCGCACTAATTCTACCACATAGTTTGATAAAGGAGGTTCTTATCTAGCGTCCAAACCGTCAAATACAACAGGGAATGGTTTTGCAGCTGAGTTTTTGACGAAAGAGAAAGTCGATGAAGAGAAGCTATCAATGCAGATAGGACCTTTTGAAATGTTTATCTATTTAATGTAAAAAAGTAGAAGCGTCTGTGCCTAGCGCCACATTTTTTCCGGATGGCGGGTATGAAAATCTTTAAATCGATTTATCTCCCGAAATACGGTTCTAATCGAGATTTGGAGGGTATTTTGGTGTCAGATTTTTTTTTTAAATGTCCCAACCCACATTTTTTCCGGCTGGTGGGTATGGAAATCTTTAAATCAATTTATCTCCGAAAATACGGCTCTAATCATGATTTGGAGGGTATTTTGGTTTCAGATATTTTTTACTAAAAAAATGCCCCAACTCACATTTTTTCAGGTATGGAAATCTTTAAATCAATTTATATCCGGAAATACGGCTCTAATCAAGATTTGGAGGGTATTTTGGGGTCAGATATATTTTCTAAAAAAAAAAAGTCCCAACCCACATTTTTTCCGGCTGGTGGAGGGTATTTTGGTGTCAGTTATTTTTTTCTAATAAAAAATGTTCCTACCTACATTTTTTCAGGCTGGTGGGTATGGAAATCTTTAAATCGATTTATCTCCGGAAATACGGCTCTAATCGAGATTTGGAGGGTATTTTGGTGTCAGATATTTTTTACTAAAAAAAAAACGTCCAAAGCGTTCCAAACTGCTGTTTCCGTGTTGCTCCCGTTTGACGCGTGACTGCCGAAAACTTCAATTACAACTAGTGGTGCAAACTGCCATATAGTGTGTAAAATTTGTGGTATGTTTCAAGAGGTGATAGAAGGTCTGCTTGGCATTTGGCCATTCACAGACTTGCCACCTGCCACTCAAAAGAGTTCGCTTTTAGGTGCACTATTTCAGGCATAACATTTGATAACGGCACAAAAGCATTTGTTTATTGTTTATTTGTTTATTTGTTTATTTGTTATGGTTGCATCAACAGACTAGAAATAGTCCCAATGATGTGTTGTAAAAAAGTACAGATTATACAGACGACATACATATACTACAGTTACTACAGTTACAAACGAAAATAACTTGGAAAGCATTGTCAAGTTACTAAAAATTTATAAGTCTTAAATTTTACACTTAGCTGTTGGGTATCAAGCGCCTTCGGTCAGCAAAAAAGGCAGAGAATCTTCGGCGAAGCATATTCCGTGTCAAGTGGAAATCGAACATCGACGCTACTCGGTTGAACACTAGCTGCAAGCCGTAAATAGCGCTCCCTATGCTATAATTAGTTCGAAGAAGTGGAAGTCTCAGCATAAGACTGTTGCGTAGTGATCGAGGTTGAACATTAATGAACATGTTGCAGAATTGCTTCGCAGTCAATTCTTCCTTGCAGAGTATCGGCGACGGTTAAGGCTCTGAAAACATCTCTTCGGATACGTAAGGGCTCGATATTGATCAATTGGCAGCGATTCTCGTAGCTTGGAAGACGAAGTGGGTATCTCCAAGGCAGCTTACGGAGCGCGAAGCGAAGAAAACGTCGTTGAACAGATTCAATTCGCTCGGCCCCATTATTATAGTTCGGGCTCCAGACAGCAGAGCAGTATTCCAACGTAGATCGTACGAGAGAGCAATAGAGCGATTTCAAGCAGTAAATGTCCGTGAAGTTCTTAGTAATCTTGAAGACAAAGCCAAGTGTTCTGGACGCTTTGTCGACGACATACGATATATGGTGTGAGTATGTCAGCTTTGAGTCTAGAAAAACGCCTAAGTCTTTCACGCAGTGCACCCGTTCGATAGTCGTGCCTAGTAGTTTGTAGTTGAAAATAATCGGTTGTTTCTTGCGTGAGAAAGTAATAACTGTACACTTAGCTGGGTTGACCACCAGTCGGTTTAGACTACACCAGTCAGCAAAGATGTCAATCTGATTTTGGAGAGAACGGCAGTCGGCGAGTGAGCGGATGCGCAGAAAAACTTTCAGATCGTCTGCAAACGATAATCGTGGCTCTGTGATAACATGGTGAACGTCGTCGAAGTAGAGGAGAAATACCAATGGTCCCAGATGGCTGCCCTGAGGTATACCGGACTTTGCGCAGAAGCTTGCTGAGCGACAAGTACCCAAGGTTACTGTCAATTGGCGCTCCGTGAGGTATGAACGAAACCATCTCAAAAGATTTCCACCGATCCCTAGCTTGATAGCTTAGCGATCGCAATTTCGTGGTTCAGCTTATCGAAGGCTGCCGTAAGATCTGTGTAGATAACGTCCGTTTGGGTCCGAGCAATCAAACTGTCTGTGATGTAAGACGTTAGGCACAGCAGGTTCGTAGTTGTGGAACGCCCAGTTATGAATCCGTGTTGATCTGTACTTAGATATTGCCTGCAATGCGCATTTAGGGACTCTATGACAACCAATTCAAAAAGTTTTGATACAGCACTTAGCGATGTGATTCCCCGGTAGTTGTTTACGTCGCGTTTGCTTCCCTTTTTATGAACAGGAAACATATCCGCAGTCTTACAGCAAGACGGAAAGATGCCGCTGAAAAGAGAGAGCTGGAATATGCGGCGCAGTGGATCTAAAAGACAAGTGATGTTCTTTTTAAGAATAATCGACGGAACACCATCGGGTCCAGCCTTAGTTGAAGTCTTAAGTTTAGATGCTGCTCTAGAAATCGTATCTGTAGTGGCTTCGACCATGCTGAGCGTTTGGTTGATCAAAGGAACATTACTGGCCGCGGAAGTAATGATATTAGCGGAGAGTTGCTCGGCTTCAAACACACTAGCAAATTTGGCTGAGAACAGGTTGCAAATGTCTTGTTGATTTCCAGCAGTTTCACCATTAAAAATCATGGAAGAGGGTAAGCCGACTTCCCTGCGTTGCTCATTTACGAAGTTCCAGAAGGATTTCGGGTGTGATTTTAGCCGCCGTTGAATCCTCCTTTGATAGCGTTGAAAACAGAGACGACTTAACCGCTTATACTCGTGGTTGAGTCTGACATAGTAGCATTTCAGTGGCAGTGTGCGGAGTTTAGTAAATCTTCTGAGAGCAGCCTTCTTAGTTCTTTTCAACGAGCGAAGATCTTTCGTCATCCACGGGACGCGAGAGTCGATATGGATGATCTTTTTGGAAACGTGTCTGTCAATGACATATGCCAAGACGTGAGAAAAGGTTTGTGCAGCAATGTTGACGTCTACAGGATCTAGAATATGCTCCCAATCTAGATTAGACAGCACATGGACGATACTGCAATGGTCAGCTCTACGGAAGTCATATGACACAGCGTTTGGAGTGCTGGTGAAATCATGGACAATATTATTTTCGATCACGATAACTAAAGCAGGGTGATGATGCACTACCTTGACTAAAGGTTCGGGTGCCGTGGAGAGGAAAGGAGCTGTATCACGAGCAAGGAATCAAAAATATCTCCAAATGACAAAATAACAAGCGATCAACGAACCGAATAATAACGCTATGTCAGAAGTGGAAAGCAATAATGATATAATCTTCACCGTTCTTTTTCATGACAAGCAGCCCGTGCGACACAACTCATTCGGGGCGGTAGAAGGAAACGAGCAAATTGTTGGCAAGCTGCTTCACGAAGTAAAGCCGAAGATGATACACGTGTGTTAATGGGAATTTTTTTGTTATGTCTTTTCCCGATTCATATCAAGCTATGTCCTCATCCGTATATATTGCAACAAAGCAGGCAAGCAATATATCATTATCCTTCTACCACTCGGATCGAGCTTTGTTACAGAGCGAGTTTGTCATGGTAGTCGTAGCAACCGTTTTGTCTGTATCGTTGGTTGCTTTATGTGTTTGGATTCGCTGATCACGAGCACTCACAAAGCAGAGATCCAGGGTGCGGTTGTTTTCATTCAACAGGCCATTGATTTGTGACAGAATTGCGGTACTATAACTGTCCAGGAGCTGGATGGTTCCTACGTGGAAAGATGAACGCTCGTGATCAGGACAAAAGAAACCACTATGGGTTGGAGTCCATGCAATGTCCGGTAGGTTAAAATCGCCAAGAACAATAACTTCGTCGGAAGGGCCTGCTTTGTCTGAAGCGGCCAAGACGGATCGACAATGTGCGTCAATAAGCTCCAAGTCACGGGTTCGATCTGGAGGAATGTGCACTGCACAGAGAAGCAATTGACGATCACCAAGTTGAATAGCCACCCACATTTGTTCAACCCTGTTCCAGGAATCGTCCTCGATAACTTCTGCTTTCAGCTTGGAATTAACTGCGATAAGGACGCCTCCCCCAGTAGTTTTCCTACTATTATTCGTGTTTCGATCGCAGCGAAATATTTCGTAGCCAGCACCAAAGACATAGTTTGAAATGGTTCGATAATTGAGCCATGTTTCGGTCAAAACTAAAATGTCGTAGCAGTGATCCATGACGGCCAGATGATAATCTTCCACGAGGCCGTTCATACCACCAACGTTCTGATAGTAAATCCTTATGTCCGACGTCCGCTGTTCGGGAACAACAGAAGGTTCAGCGTGTTGTTGCATTTGGGAGCTGGTAGATGTCACTTGACGGAGGAAGGATGTTCGAGTAGGGCCGCTGGAAACCAAGATATTTTCAGGCGATAATATATTCGTCGGTTGATCATACTTGCCAATAACAGGAATGTGGAAGACCCCTTCTCCCATCTCAAACGCAGGGCCGGGACGACTGCTGGTTGCTGGCAGGAGGGGCTCGACTGCGATGAGTGGAATAGGGGCTTCCTCAGGGCGGACGGCAAGAATGCGTCCCGGAGTGCAGTTGACTGTGGTGGCTCCATGTTGCCGACTGGCAGATGTTTGAGGTGAGTTGAAGGCACTGGAGTTATGATCATCATCAGGCAGTGAAAGTTCGCTAGTAAGTGTGTACTTGCCTAATATAGCAAGCTGGGAGACCCTCAATCCACATCTAAACTCAGGGCCAGGACGACTTGGATGAACGCTGGCTGCAATAGGCGCGACTGATTTAGAGGAACTGGGGACTCCCAAAATGCTTTCTACGTTGCGTCCTGGTTGAGAAGTAATTTGCCTCAATAGATTTTCAGAGGGTATCATCGAAAATTCGCTGTGTTGGGGCGATCGGGGGCTTCCATCAGACTTTCTACGGTGACTGTTATACTGGGTGTACCTAAAGGGGCTGGCATATCGAGAGGTGCTGGTGTCCCAAACGGTGTGCCCGTTGGAGAGCCACCCGGAATAGTCTCTGGAACAGCAGGGAGTGCTGGGATATCAGGAGGTAGCCACACATTGTTTTTCGCCTGAGTATCCTCGAATTCTCTGTATACAATCCCCTGTGGCCAAGTTTCAGGGTTCAAAGCGTTCTCTTTTAGTTTCATTGGAATGCCGACCTTGTAGGAGATGAAGTTCATCGATAGTGGGTCGGTGCCTTTTTTCACTAAAGAGACGACTTTAACTGGTTCAGTCGTTCGCAGTCCATCACGAACAAGTTTCTCAACCACATCTCTCTTAACACTGGGGTGAAACCGGGAAAGGTAAACCCAAAACAGGCTTCATGGAGCATTGACAGCGAGCGTATCGCTAGTTCCAATGACTCTTGTTCCAGTAGTCGGTTTAGTCGGTGTTTCCGTATCACCTCGACGGCGTTTTGAGGGGTGATCATGATTCGGTCTAGCAGATGTACCTGGGGTAGCAGCATTAACTATGTGAGTGAGTTGAGCGACCTGATTGTTGTTTTTGGCCATTTCGGTTTTCAGCTCGGATAAGCCGGTCAGCTGACTACCTATCACCGTCGAAATTACGTTACCGAGGGATGAAACAGTGTTTCTGAATCGGGCGTACTTCATCAACTTGCTACATTCATCACACATCCAGAACAAATTGATTTTCTCGCGAAGAATCCTGACGAACGGCAAGTTCAAGTTAATGCATCTCACATGATACACTTGGTCGCAGAACCCCATACATTCGATGTGGTCTTCGTCCGGTTTCACTGTTTTGGCACAGCGGTCGCACGCACTTGTACTGGTCATTTCGTTGAACGGAATTAATGCCAAATACGCGTAAAATGCCCAATAAGCAGATTACTAAATCCAGATGTAGGTGGCGCGTCGAATGTTAGACGAACGATCGAAAGGTGGTTTTTGCAACACCACTAGCACAACAAACAGAAAATTCTATGGATGACTGGCAATTTCACAACACCAAATATACTGTAAAACTAAATAAAGTCAACACGAATCAACTGATTTCCACTTTCCACGTAAATTCACAAAACTAGAGTTTACAGAGGTACACGAATAACTTCAGTGAAGTGACTTTGAATGGACTAAAACAAACAGAAACTGGCTGCGAATGAGCAGTGTTACTATCAAAACAAACTTCAATCTTAATCTCCGATATCGATTTGTAAACAAACTTTCTAAGGCCCTTTACCCGCGAACCAAAGTACGCCCACACAAATCAACAACATCATCGGATAGGGGCAACTATCACCTTTCCGAAAGTGGTATTGGTTTGCGTGGACGTACTTTGGTTCGCGTGTAAAGGGCCTTAGAAAGTTTGTTTTTGGGCCCATGCATTAATTATGCCACGCTAAATCGAGCAAAAAAATTACCCCCTCTTCCCCCCTATCGTTACGTTTTTCCTGTACCTAATGCATTGCTTGTCACAAAATCTTAGACCCCCCCCCCTCCCCCCTTAGAACGTGACATAATATATGCATCAACCCTTTGTGCCGTTATCAAATGTTATGCCTGATTTAACGAGTTTTGTCATGGTAGTGATATTGACATGCTTAGAAATCAATGCATTAGGCTGAATTTAACCCTTTTTGAAGCAAACCAAGGTCGAAGATTTAATTGAACCATACTATAAAATAGTGTATTCATGGTCACTTGTGGTCTGGAGTAAAGAAGTACAGCTATAATGTGACCATAAAATCTATAAAAATCTAAACGCATTTTTTTTAAAAGTTTACACCTGTGTCGTGCACAGGTTGCACATGTGGACGCGTTTTCTAGCTCCATTATTAGATTTCATTCCATTGCTTTACAATATTGCTGAATAAAGGTGGATACAGTCAGCATAATAGCTCTTATACCACTATGCGTCCATGTTTTAATCACATGCCTTGTAAATGCTTCATAAACGACGTATTAGATTCATTATTCCACAACACTGGTTCAGTCGATCAATAAGACGAAATCAGTATCAGAACTGGTTACCGTTTCCGCTTTCCAAACAGAAGATCGTGAGTTCAATCTCAAGCTCAACCCATTTTTTATTTATGTTCTACGCCTAATTAATTTAAATAGTACGCCTAATTAATCTCACGACAATGAATGTTATGATCTAGTTTAAAAAATAACCGAGCATCCTTTCCTTGGAATTGGAGAGGTGAAGAGGTAACATTGGTCTCATGTAAAAAATTTTTCTCGCTTTGACAGTTGTGTCCCTATTAGATGTAAGGAAAAGATGTTTCGACAGCGACGGCAGCGCTATTCTACCTCTATAGTTTATTAGCTCTATTAGAGGCTCTATTGTCGTATTAGATGCTAGATAAAAGCTTCTTTTATCGATCTGTGTGCTGAAAATGCCTGGGAAAAACATGGCCGTGGGAATACAAAGAGAAAATCGATGAAGAGAATCTGTCAATGTTACTTAGGACCTAATGCAATGTTCAGCTTGAATTTGCGTTCTAGAGCGTGAATAATACGAAATTGTTGCTGTATTCAATAAAAGTGTATTATTCAGATAAGTTCGTTTACAAAGCATTGTTCAACTTATCAAATTTAAAGCTCAATGTCTCGTCTTGCTTCTAGTAAAAGCCTGGCGATGTTGTTCAATATCAGTTGGAAACATGTGATCTGTGCAGTAATATCACCGACAAACCGACATGAATGATCATACAAATTACTAAGAAATTTCTGATCAATGCACAAAACTGACATCTGCCGCCATGTTCGCGGAAAATATTTATCCTAGTCACGAACACTCGTACAAAATTCATGAGTTGGTTCGTGTCTAATCTATTTCGGAAAAATTATTTTTATCTAGATAAAACATTTCTATGGTTATGACAGATGGGATCGCTACACATTTGAATCGGCCGTTATGGATTCTCGATCAAGAGTTAAGTTTAAGTGTCATGTCGGTTTGTCGGTGGTAATATGATATGGTCATATTCCTAATAACATATAACAAGGCTTGCTTCACTAGAACCCCTTCCGTCGCGAACATTGTTCTTTGTGCAAATCAAAGCAAACACTGAACTAAAAAAAAAATGCATGAGGAAAATTTGGTTACTTCATTAAAAATCGTAAAATTTGTTTATAGGGGAACTGGCTCTAATGTAGGCCTATGGATCTAAGATTGGGCCCATCGCTGAAAATCTGCTATTTATTAATTTTATCTAGATGAACGCGTTATTGGAACGGTACTAATGGATATTTTTGGTCGCTATTGAAAATTTAGTCGATTGCTGAATTTATGTATGGGCCCAAATTAGGGGAATTTAGGCCGACATCCATTTCCCCTATCAAACCGTTACAATTATTTAATTTTAAGTGGTATTGTGATCAGCATACATTTGTTATTTTAGGCCAATAGAACAGTTTCAAACAACAAAATTTTGTTTTTTTCGACTTATTTTTTTTATAAAATGATAATGTTTTAATCAAAATTTGACATTCAAACCAACAGAATTCGAGTTTAATCATCAAATAAATATTTTGTTATTATGAACAGGGTCAACTTTTCTGCGTGATCAACATCTATTCAATCACGAAATGGATCGATATGATGATATGAATAACCATGCGTCTACATTGTATTGAGATCTCTTCTCAGAGCAGAAAACCTCCGGATGGAGACGCCAGGCAGCTTCCACGCTCACACGAAAGATTTTCGATCCTAATTATTTGAAATGCAGCCTCAAATTCGCAATGAATGCAAAGATAAATCCAGTTACGTCGCACTGGATAATTGTTTTGCTGCGAGTCTTTTCGGTTTATTTTATGATTCTCGGAAGACGTGACAAGTGCAACAGGGTCTCTTCATTCTGTGACTTGACAACGGTTTCTCGGGAACGAAGCCGAGCAGTTCCACGCCAAATGGCGAATCTATTTTATTTTTCCATCTCCGGATTCCATGAAACCTCGCCCAATTCATCACTAGGGGCAATGAACCGACAAGTTTGTGCTGGGATTCAGCCCTTTAGACTCTCGCATAATTTTAACGGGGACAGCAATCAAGAATTTCAATATGGCGTATTCGGCTGATAATTGTTCATTCAATCATCTAGTCGAAATGGTGTCTGATACAAAGTTGTATCGCGGTTAGAAAAAAGAACCCAACAGCCAGTTCACTTTACCTACTTTTGACTAGTTTGTCTCCTTTTCCCCTTCTAATGTTGTAAAAAACGGAGCAGCAAAACCACCCAACAGGAGTATAGACTTCTCTGACGTTTATGAATTGCACAAGTATTAGTGCAGAGCTTTGGGTGAATTCAAAGGTTTTCTTGCACTAATACTTATAATTTACCCAAAGTTCTGCACTAATACTTGTGCATTTCACAAACGTCAGAGAAGTCTTTTTATTTACTTTTGGGTGCAGCTAACTTACTTCTGGGTAGAAAGCGAGTGGAACATTTCGTACGAATTGCACACAAGTAAATGAGCCAGTAAATGTCAAGTTTCGTGGAATTCTGAGAGGTAAAATCTAAAATTTGTTAATTGTTTCGCTCTTTGGCCTGGAACTGCTCAGCCCTTTCTTCACAGCGTGCTGTCATTCACAGACACACCGACGAAGCGTGGCCTGGTTGGAAAGTTCATCATTCGCAAATGACTACCAGTGGCGGCGCGGCGGGGCCATGATGAAATTATCAAAGGCAAAACGGATCACAGCAGCGCAGGATGAAGGAAATGAACGAGTGGAGGATGAGTTGTGATGGAATCAAAGCGAAGCTAAAACGCGCTCTTCATGTAATCACAAACACCGTTGCTGGTAGGAGGGGATTTTGAAAGCGTGCACCCCCGCTCGTCGTGCCAGTAAAAGGACTCCCGCAGGTGTTTTGTTTATTGAATTTGTTTTATGCTCAAAATTAAATTTTCCATCAACAACAACAACAACAGCGACGATGACGACGACGAATAGGAGGGTGACATTTCGGTCTTACATCCGTGGATCACATGTAGGTAGGTAACCTACCTTTAGTCGAGGAGAGAATAGAATATGTACGTGGGAAAGACGTTCCAATTGGATACCATTCAGTTCGCAACTTCCACTGGTGGGGGAAACACTGCTGGCTGCCATGCGGTTTGATGTTGTTGAAAACCTCTTCCGCACGTGACTGGATGCAATTGGGATGAATCAATTTTTTTTTTAGAAATTCCAGTGTGTTGCAAAAGCACCTCCTCAACTTCAACTTGAAACGACGACGTCTGTAAATACCGGAAGTTGATGGGGATTCGAAGAATGGTGGAACCCAAACCGTCCATAAAACGTTCATTGTCTTCCCCAGTATTAACGATGTCATTCATTTTGGAAATTTAATTTATCGCTTCTCGCTGTTTATGTTATGAGCCTATATGTTTTAACCCGAACCGCGCCGTGTCGTTGTTCGGTCGCATAATAGCATTTGGTTGAATTGGCGGGTGTGTGCTTTTGTGTTCCCCCCTTTCACTTGCTTGGCTACGTATAAATACAACAGTAGGACCGGAAGAAAAGGATAAACCAAGCGAAAAGCAACTCTGGAATTTGTCATCTGCCGGAGTGTTGTTGTTGCCGTTGTAGGTATCTAGGCTCTATTAAATAACATATGAATACACGAACCGTATGTGCCCGGTCGGAGCTGTCGAACAAAGAGTCGGATAGAAGAACAGCTTGAACTATTATGTGCACGTGGGAATTGAGGATTGGTTTTCAATACAACATAAGCTGGATCCGTTTTGGTTGGTTTCCCGTTCAATTCAAAGAGGAGATTTCATTAGGGAAGTGATTATAACTTGGACTATTGCTTGATGGAACAAGAGCTTTAAATCTTTAGTAAGTACACACATAGTTTTTACTTGAATGGAACCAGAGCATAATGCTACAAAGGTAAACGCTCCTATAGTTGTGGTACGATAGAAGCACATACAAACAGACTTAACACTCGCAAGCTGTTCATCGAACGTGCATTTAACGATCAATTTAGGGGTTCCTTAGATGATAGTACCGCCACCTGTGGCGCGTACAGTCAATTCCCTTGCGATTGACGTTTACGCACTACCGCCATCTGTTGCGAGTATTGCCCGTCTCAGTGCACTCAACGATGTTTTACAGTGAGAAATATTTAATGTTTGTCTGAAGCGTTTGATCTTATAATTGCCTATGGAGCCTCCTACACACACACAATGCTTTTAAACAGTAAATATTTATCCCTTTTATCTGTTTGGATCAGGGTTGCTTCCACTCACTTACTATAAAAAAATATTTTTCAGGAGTATGCAATCATTAGATGTTATAATGATATGTTGTACTAGTAAGTAACAAGAAGACGGTGTAAAGTATGTGTTTGACTCATAAAACCTGTCAATTTCGCTTTCAGAGCGTCACAATCAGCGATCTTATGATTCGTGAGCGTTCACTCAGAGTGAGCGCTCACGAGTCATAAAATCGCTGATTGTGACGTACTGAAATCAATATTGACAGATTTTATGTGTTAAACATATATTTCATGATCTCTTCTTGTAACTTACAAGTTCTAATTAGCATTATACTATTTCATGATTTCATAATTCCGAAAAACATTTTTTTATAGCAACTGAGTGGAAGTAACCCTGGTTTGGATCGCTTCATTTTCTAGATTTTATTTAAATTAAAACAAATCATGAAATCTCTTTGCAACATAACAATTAACGGCACCGTTGAAAAATCGTCTCTTCTAGCAAAAATTGACAGTATCTTATGGGAATTTTCGGTGGAGTGAAGAGATAGTACAAAGTCCGCCATGTTTCACGCACAGTCTGGCGAATTCGCACGGGATTTTCCGTAGGAGTAAAGAGCTACAGAGTCACCGTCAACGCCAATAAAAAAAAATCATTAACAACAATTCATCAACTTTAAAAAAATCGCGATGATTATTAACTTTTTAATCCAATCTAATCTAATCTAATCTCACACTAACGCAGCTAATACTTTGAAAGCATCCTGGAAAATGACGGCTTCACGAATCCGTCATTTTTCTTGTCAACGGCCAGGCCAACTGCGCAGCATGTGCCGCAGAGAGGATTTCAAGGAGTCAAGTGATGTCAGAAATGAATATCTGAAACCACTTCACAACCTGAGATCAAGGGAAAGGAAGAAAGCGTGGACCTCCCGTACCAAACGCTTCCAGTTACAATTGAATAATAGTATTTATATGTTTTCGTTGGGAGCATAATTGCTATAAAATTTAATTTATGCTCCTGGTGTCTTTGGATGAACTTTTGGCATTTGAACCAAAAGCCAGGCTATTTCTGGGTTAACATTTGAAACAAGCGGAACAACCATCCGTAAACGACAGCTACTTTTCTTGTGTCCGCAAGCCTCGAGCCATTCCTTAACGATTTTTCTTTCAAATCTTCGAAGCGACCTCCGATTTTGTGATGTCAGTGACATTGCATTGAGGCCGAATGAGACAGTTGGGATTATCACAGTAGCGTAAATCCTCCTGGCTATACTCCAAGGCGGCTTATTTTTTTGGAGGAAAGGGAGAATGATCTTACTCGTCCGCGTTGCCTTCAAGCACCTTTGCCGGATTGTTTCAGGTCGATTCAGCGTGGCCGTCATGTATATATGCCCAGGTAACGTAAGGAAGGACAAGAATTAATTTTCATTTCTCCAACCTCTACTTCTTCGATTCTGGGTTCCTTGGTAGAAAAAGGGTCCCGGATCAGGAGCTCGGACTTCTCAGGGTGGATCTCCAGACCAGCCTCTGCTAGGAGCTGTTTCATGGCAGTCGTGATTTGGTTCAGCTTGTCGAGGTCCTTGCATATGATGAGAATGTCATCGGCATACGCGAGCAGCAATGGGGTTGTCAGTTTCGACTTTTGCTCGAGTTCAATGTCCGGGAACTGATCTTTTAAACGGCATAAAACATAGTGCAACACTATCGTGAAAAGTCTCGGTGACAGCGGGCATCCCTGTTTCACTCCTTTACTCTTTGATATCATAGGAGTTCGCTGGTTAAGCCATTTTATACACGTATTCTCGTAAAGACCCAGATTTATAATCCTATTTATAATATAATTTGGTACTCGCAGATATCTTAGAGCGTCGATTAGTACAGGCTGACTAACTGAGTCGAAAGCTTGTTTTATATCGAGCGCAAATACGTACACCTCCGTTCCTTTATTCCAAAATTCTTCAGTGATCCTTTTAGCCGTAAAGATATGGTCTTCTACTGCTCTGTTACTAAGAAACGATTCGTCCAGTTTTGTTAAAGTGTACGACGCAATATTATTGATTGCACGAATTTTTAGACTTCTGCGAGAAGATTTCAGTGACAGTTATGCTTGCGCACTCACTAATACTACTTAATCCTTATGTCAGACAGTGTTATGCAAACATTTTATTTGTATTTATCTCGTTCTCAAAGATTTATCTGACAGTTACAAGCAAATGTATGTTTCTTGCAACTATTTATTGAATTGTTCCCTTTTATCACCAGGATGGCAGATATCCTTCAGGAAATTACCAAGCGCCGTGCATCGGATAATACCGTTTACCATGCTTTATACGGTTATTTCTTCCTGGGACTTTCGAAAGCCAAACTGGCGTGAATTTACCGGAAACATAAATCAACAATCGCTAACTGGATTTCTAATTACCAGCAAAACGGATGTTTTTCCAGAAAGGAGTACGCTAGAGATGCAAAAAAATTCGGAGCGGATAAACGGCAATTGAGTTCTCCAAGCAGGATCTCACGAACACTACACTAATAACATAATTTTACACACACTAGCGTATACTGTCATGTGCACGGTAAGAATCAAACATCCATTTATGAGTAAAAGTGAACCCATTGTCAATAAAAGTGGCACTACTAATTAATGAGCAATTTATTATGCCAATTAAGTAGTAACTGTTAGCTACTGTTAGCAGAAACTCATTGTTGTTAAAATAATTTACTCATTAATGAGTAAAGCCACTTTTATTAAAAATGGGTTAACTTTACGCATAAAAGGGTATTTGACTGTTACCGTACAAGCGTAGGGTTTGTTTTCGTTTTGTTGTTTATTTTTACCTTAGAATGACAGTTCTTACAGCAAACAAAAAAAATTCTCAAAGCTAACAAAAAATTTCATCTCACTAACACACGTAAATCGCACCCATACCAACCCGCCTGGAGAGGACTATGGCTTGTGCAGCTGTTTAAAAGAGATCCAACACTGTACCTCGATGAAGCCAAAGAAGAATTTGAAAGAACTTTCTCCATTCTTATATCGACATCCTCTATCTGCCGCATCCTCCATAATGAAGGACTCTCATGGAAAGCTCTTGAACGTAGAGCTGTTCAGTTAGATCTCAATTGAGTGCATTCTAATAAACAAACGCATAGAAGCTTATTGTAATTTTGTTTTATTCATTAAAAAACGATTATATCATCCCATCGCATTGCAAAACACAACCAACAAGTTAAAACGATCAATGAAATTAATAATGATCCACGTTTTCTTGCTCACGAACTCGAGCTGCTAGTTGATCAGAAAAGCTTGTCTCCTCAGTTCGAACCGTTTCCTCTGCTGCAGAAATAAATGATTCACCCATAGTATCACGTATCTCCAATGCTTCGATCGATCGATTTAGTTGCTCCATTTTAGTCGCCAAAGTTTGAACGATTCCCTCCAATTCACAGAACGTTTTGCGGATGACGACAACTTCATCGTGGTAACCTGCATTCACGCTATGAGCCATGGCAAAACTCCGTTTTATCGATCGGATTGCGGGTTGTTCTCTGGTAGAAAATAGTTTAATTAAGTGTGCTGGAGGTGCCTCGTCGATCAAACTATCTCGTTGACAAGGATCAGCAGCAAAAATCGGATTGGCCCACATCATCCAAGCAATGTATTGAGCTTGCCAGCAGCTTCCATGCTTATCACGCAGTTTTTTTGCAAGATCATCAACCATTCTGTTCGATGCAGCACCAGCCCTGTCCCTAGATTCTGGTTCCAGTAGTGAATCTTTAACCGTTTTGAAGACAGCTCTGTTGCTTAAGGAAAGTGAATAAACGTGCAGAAGGAGGTGAATGTCCTTCTTCTTCCAGTGATTCAAAATGTTAGCTGTTACCTTGTCAACGGGATAGTATCTGTGGTTAGCCTTATCGTTGAACAAAGCAAATCGTGCGAAATCCATTTCCTGGGGGTTTTCCTCACCCCACACAGGTACAGCTTCGCCGCTTTCATTGCACCTGAATATCACTTCCCGCTTCAGAAATCGCTGGGACATCAACCAGCACTGGTGAAGAAATTCACTAGGCGTGTTTCCTGCAACGCCCCACTTGCCAATTTCCCGTCCAGATGAATGTCCCTTAAAATCCCGAACAGCAACAAGCAGCCAGCAACCGTACAGCCCTTCTGGAAGTTTCTCTTGTGAAAACGTACCACCAGCAACTTCTTCACCGACGAACGATGAATCACCCGATTTCTCCAGATCCAGCTCGTAGTCCACTTGCTGAGCACCTCCGATCGGATCTTCGGTTTGATCACTGAAATCGCAGTCCATATTTCCATCCAGATAATTTAAAAACTCCACGTTCAAGTACGAACAACCGGCTTCGTCACTTTCCCGGGGGTGATTATTTCCTGGTTCGGATCCCATTTCAGAATCGATTTCTGTTGAAAAAACACAAATAAAATTAATTCGAGTACGGAAACCAAATGCGATCATTTACCAACCAGAGTAGATTCCACATTAATTAATTTCCTCGATCGAAAATTCACAATTCAAAACAGCAGCAGCAAACCATCAAAACCAAAACAAAAAAAAAAATAAAATTTCTCACGATCTGTCAAATCACAAGCCAACTAGGCTATCCAAGACAAGGAGAGGAGGTCTGGCAATGTGCAGCTTGTTGTTTTTTCCTTCGCTCGCATTCGAATGGAACAGTGAGTTTGACGTCACACTTGTTGTTAAATGGTAACAGTAGGGGAATGAAAGAGACTATAAAATTAGCATTGCCCGATCTTTCTCTTTGACATAGCTAGGCTACGTTTGTGTGAGTAAGAGATAGGTGTACGCTGGGTGTGCGAAAATATTCACTGTGCAGAAATTTACTGCACAGTTGTCTAAGAAGGTGCAAAATGCGCAATAATTTTGTATACAATATTGCATAGGGTTATTTTCCTAAAATCCGTGGTATCCTTGGGTACTGCCGTCTTGGATTCGACGGTATCTGCATCGTCTCGGTTATTTCCTCAGGAGCTTTATTATTTATCCATATCTGCTTGATCAGCTTTTCAAGCCCGATGAAGAATTCCTTAGGGGCATGTTTTAAAAGCTCTACATTAATACAATCCGGCCCAGGACATGTACCGCTTCTAAAACTGTGCACTATGTCCTGAATCTCCAGCAGCGAGGGAGGGGGCACTGCTACCTCATCTTCTGGTAGTAATTTTAGCTCCACCATGGAATCCAGAAGAGATTCCAGCCATTTGTGTTGGCTTATATGATTACCTCTACCTTTACGAGCGGCTATTTTCTTGTGCTGCTTTAAAAATTCGTACGTCTTCCTAACGCTCAAATGAGGCTCTATTTGGTGAATGTTAGTAAAGAACTTCTTCCAAGAACGCCATACACTTTCCTTTTTAGCTTGCTCGAAATCCCACCTCGCCATAGACACTTCTCTACAGTAATATTCAACATCCGGGAATTTCCATCGTCGGAAGCGCATTTTCTGCAGCTTTGAATATGCCTTCTGCGTTTTAGGCGATCTTGGAATTTTCTTGTGTAAGGGAATAGCTTCAGTTGCCGCATCGGCCAAAACTATTTTTAATTCCTGCCAGCTTGGGCTGGTGGGCGCTGTTATACTCCCATCGTTTAATCGTTTTGGTTTGACCATGTTTGTAGAACTGACTTTGACCTCGCAAACGTGTTTCGTACAGAGAGATCAAACTGGGTCACTAACTGCAGCATGAAGAGGCCATTTTCGTTGCATGTCTTGTGTAATAGCTGTTTACCGATCAGCTGATTGAAATCCTCTTTTAAATCGTCTTCTCCGATATGTCCGTTGAAGTCACCAATTATAATATATTCATCTTCTAGAGGGATCTTGGAGATGATATTGGTAATCTGGGCGAATGCATCTGATTTTTTCCCATATGTGGACAACGATTACGATAAAATCGATTTTTGCTTTACGAACCCACGCGCTGCAAATGTCTTCCGAGAATGTTCTGAACTGTCTCAGAGTCACGCCCGAATGTTTGTTTACCATAATGCCGGTACCTCTGTTGCTGGTGGTTGAAACAACTGGACTACAGAACCAATTGTAGTTTCTTGTTTCTATTGATTCCCAGGCTATTCTTGTTTCCTGTACTGCACAGATGTCAATAATGTTATTCCACAGTTCTGTGTCCATTGCGTCACGTTTATCACTCATAGAGCATCCTCGTACATTGATAGAAGAAAGCGTAAGTCTATCTGATGAACGCTCTACCGACTTGCAGAGTACCACATCCGAGATTGATTGGTGGTTTCAAGGATATCTCCGGAACTAGTCAAGTTGTCACTAGATATGTGGCTGTCCATATGTATGTCCATTTACGTTGACAAGCCTGCATTATTATCCATCGTATGAGTGCTAAAACAAAAAACATAAAACATAAAACATAAGGAATGTAAATCGCAATAGTTTGATGCATAATTTCTACTATTTCAATTATACGTACCACTCATTGTCTTGAATTGGAAGAAATTCTACAGAGGTATATCCCCCGGTTGTTGTATTCCTTACCACAGATTTTGGGGAAAACACACCTTCATTACATTCAACCTTTATTATCCTACTAGTGTCGTTGTTTCCTCCTTTGAATAGTTGAAACGCATCCTTTTCAAACACAACAATGTCTCTTTTCAGAACAATCGCAATAGCATAACAAGCTTCCATATCCACATCTTGTTCCGCTACATCCCAATGAGTGAGGAGGTCCTTCAGTTGGTGTACTGTACTGTTGATGGTTGCCTTTTTAAGGTTCAAAACGTTCATTTCAAATTCCCAGCTCGTGGGCTCTGCTTCCAACAAACAGGATAATATGGCGATAAGCAAGGCACTATTTTTTGATTTTCGATGTACAGTTTTCATTCGGTCACTCTTGTTGACCTTCATGTTCCTTTCTGTAGCAGAACATGGTAACAGTTCGGGTGTTTTAGAGCAACATATAACAGCCCTTGGTGTTTCTGGTCTTATTATTTGCCGGAGTTCATCCAACACTCTCACTACTACATCATAATGATTTTAAATCGGGTAACCACTGTAGAACAAATTAATGTTAGAGCTTCCACCATTCGGTGCTTCGAAGACCAGAGGAGGACCGTCTTCGGTATGGACGGTGATATTCACATTGAAGATTTTTGCTATTGAAATAATCATTTCAGCGCCACACCATGTGCGGTCTACCAACGTGTTCGAGATGTAATTGTTCACCATAGCCCTTTGCTCTTCGGGGGGAATTTCTTGCTGGGATAGATGTTGCATTTCGCAGACTTCACTCAAGATGATGATATGAAAATCCTCCACATGCCGACGGATATGATCGACGCACATTTTTCTAAGCCTCTGTATAGCTTCCGAGTGATCCGGTGTCCCGAATTCAGTTCCTGTTCATACAGGTTGGAAAATAGTAAAGTGAAGTGAAAAGTAAAGTGAGCATAAGGTTAGGTAAATTTTTACTCTTTGAAGCGACTTTTTGCTACTATATTTGCCTTCAAGTGCATAAACAATTGATGCTGGAAGACAATTTCCATCGGGTGGCTTCATCCTTATCCAAATTGGGCACGAGCCGTTCGATTTCTTCTGAATTTTGTTGTATTTTGCCATTATCTAAGCCACTTAGCACTAACTAACACAATTGACAGACGGGAATCAGCTTACCGCGTATTCCAGCGTTCAAATTGACAGGGTCATTCCAAAATGCTAAGGTTATACTGCTTCTAGGGATCGTCGAAAAATAAAGCGATTCGAAAATAAGTAATTTTTAAACAACTCACTTGGAAAGGATTGAAGTTGTGTCGAGAAATTCGCGTGAAATTTCTCCTCCATGACCTCCCCGTAATACTAATTTCCGACTGTAACCGATTGTGTTTATTGACCGCATAAGGAAAGCTAACCCTTATTTTTCCGTTCCCTCTCCGTATCTAATGCGTATTTTCCCAAATAGAAAGAAAGTCAATGATTGAATCCAGCATTGATAGAACTTAAAGACAAATCGGCAACACTTCCCTACCTCGCACACGAAAGATGGGCCAAAGCCGCTAAAGCAATGAAACATATTTACTGTTAATCAGCCTGCCTTGACTGGTTCCATTTCAAACGGCTCCTTTCACCCTGCAGGAATCCAACGCCAACCGTTTCATAGGTGAAACATTTGCGAAATTACCTATGACACATACCACAGCCTTTCACTGTGAAACCAAAACTCACCATTTACGCTAAACATGTATTACCTAGAAACCAACATCAACAAACCAACAACAACAGCAAAGTGGGATTTGTTTAATCGCGCGACCGGCTTCGTGTTCTACTAGCATACCTACTGTCCAAGGTTGTTAATCGACGTCTTCTGATTAACGCCCGCTATGCAGATTTCCCATTGCAGTTATCAAGTTATCAAGTTATCAAGTTATCGATTAACAACCCTGATACTGTCTAACATGATCGTAAACCTTCACCGTTCGGAAGTCATTACTTGTCTGCCACTCAAAACCAAAAGTTGTAAAATATGGATCCATACAAATGTCACCAGTACTCCTGTAGATTTTCCGGAAAATCCGCAAAAACACGAGTGACACCCACCCAAACTCGAGCAGAATGCCACCCATTCTCGAGCAAATCCACCCCCACAGCTCCCGAGCAAACCGCATCCAAACTCGAGTTGATTATTATTATTATTTTGTCTGATTTTATATTCACCACAAAGCCAATGCGCTATCAAAAAACTACGCTAGGTGGCAGCTCAATATGCGAAACTTTTTATTTCGTGCGGCTGTTGTCATAGGTTTTGCGTGTTTTTGTTTATGCTTTCCTTCACTGTTTGCTGAACGTCGTTACTTCGTTTGATACGTACCTCGATTTAAACACCTTTTTTTTTACAAAAATAATATACTTATCTCCGCTGCTTATACTGAAGAATACCAGTAATTTCCTTAGTACATACTACTGCTTTCCAAAATCGGTCTCATCATATGACGAAGGTTGGCATCTATCCATTGTAAAGTGATGCAACCAGGTTTACAGCTCATCACATCCGTCCTGCTTTCGCATCTGCTTCCAGCTGACATCGAAAAACTACACGAAAGCCGGTTTGCGGCAACTGCACGAAAACCCGCAGACGGGCGGATACCTCCTTTTACCTCCTGTACGCCATTTTGCTCGAACCACAGTCACTCGTTTTCACTTTAAAAATCCGCTACGTTACAATAAAACAAGCCTAAATAATGTTATCACTCAGCTCTTCTACCACTTGGGATCAATTTAGACCGCTTTCACTGATTTTTTTTTCCAATAACTTCACAAAGAAACGCTAGTTTTAAAATTCACAGATGTGATTTCCCTACTTCTCACGGGCAGTGCTGCCGGTCCTCCCGCCGGGTTGATTATTAACTTTTTAAACAATAA